AAAAAAAAAAAAAAAAAAAAAAAAAAAAAAAAAAAAAAAACAAAGTATAGAGTTATAGCTTATTCACCTGCAAATGCATTGGAATCGATTTTGGCTAAGCCAGAAGGTATTGGACCCTCCAATAGGTTATTGGACAAATCGAACAACTTCCAATCCCTCGGAATAAAATCAGGGATTTTGCCTTCAAATCGATTCCCTTCGAGGCTCAATTCCACCAAGGCTGGCAAACTAGAAAGGGAACCTGGAATTTGTCCTTTAAACTCATTCTCTTCTAAACGCACCGTTTTCAAGGACCTCATGTTTTCAAAAGCGTCTTCAGGTATTGTACCAGAGAACTTGTTGTATGCAAGATACAAAGCTCTCAATGCGCCCAGTTTCTTAACCTTTGGCATTGTACCATGAAAGCTATTGTTCATGAAGCTCAAGCTCCTTAGAGATGGCAAGTTAACGAGCGTGTCTATGTCGATAACACCACCTAAGCTCAAATTCTCGAGCCGTAACCCAAACAAAGTTCCATCTTTGCAAGTCACACCAGTCCAGTATTTACCTCTCATCTTGGGGTCGTCGTTGCAGATGTCGATCGACGTGTCCCAATTGTCCAAGGCGGTGTTGTTCGAAAGAGAGCTCTTGAACTTGATGAGGATTTCGGCCTCGGGACTGGTACTGGAGGAAGTGTTACAGCACACTACAAATAAGATGAGTAAAAACAGGTCTGTTCTATGAGCCATGGGTGAGGGAAGGTGTTGCAAAGTGTATTTGGAAGGGAAAATGAAGGAAGATCAAAATGGAGAAGCAATAAAGAGAAGTTTCTTGTTTTGATGAGCTGTTTAAAGGCTGGTCCTTCTAAGAGATATTGCATAGTTTGTTCCCCCCACTCTCCATCAAAGGGAATAGCACAACATAGTTTAATGTTTCTAGTTTGGAGTTTGGTACGATCTTTCTTGTTATTCATGAAAAAAAAGAACAAAAAAAAAAGTTTTCATAAATAAACATTAGATTGGGTTTCTATCTGTAACCTGGAAAATGTCGACAGCGTTTAAACGTTGCTCGAATGGCCAATCTGACATTTTGTCTGTAGGAAGAAAGACGAGAAGATTCAAAAGTCTAAAACGTCAACAAATTGGCAATTTCCTAAGACGTGCTAACAAAATGATTTAAACAAACATTTACGTTAAGGAGTCGAGGATACCATTTGAGATCAACGCTTACTTGGTGGGTCAACGAAAACCGAAATTTTCGTGAAGAGAGAATCACTCACAATCTTCGAGCAGGTCACGGAGATCGTTAATGGTGTTGAGAAAATCTCCTAGGCATCTGATAAGCTTGCTCCCCTGACGTCTTATCAAATTAGTCTGGTCCTTGTCATTCTTTTCATCAGAAGTTGCACATTCTGCATTCTCAGACACAATTTCTTGAACATTTTCTGCATTTTCAAGCAATTTCTTCACCATCATTTGCTCTTCGGGTTCTATGTCGTCAGTCGCCGTTGCTCCGTTGTTTTTGATGTAGCAATCGCGAAGGTCTGATTCTGGAGAGCTTAATAGAGGTTGTTCTTCTGCTTCATCCTCTTCGTCTTCTTTAAATTCTAAAGATTTCTCAAGGCCTTGATTTCTCTTAGACATTGAACCACGTCTTTGCCTTTTAGGGCCTAACATGAAAAAATCAGAAAGAAGAAGACCAATATTATTGAAGTAATTTGAAGACAGCCATTGTAAGATCCATCTCACCCTTTAACCACACTTCAGAACATGATGCAAAGCTATTTGTGCAGTTACGACAAACCCGTTTTTTCGGTTTTAAAAAAATTCACAATTAACCCTTATGAAAATGCAGTTAGAAAAGTTCAAATTGCCCCTCATGGATTATAAGGAAAAGAAATAATGAATCTAGATCCTGGAATCACCCTAACACCGACCCGTTCTATATAACATAATGCGTCACTGATCCTATTCTTCAATTCACTGCTGAGGGTGGTTCTTTCGACGTCTCGTTTTGATTTTTACGTAGACATGATTTGTAGATACAATCACATATATTCATGAAATGTTTGAAGGAAGCACAGTATCTGAGATTCTGAAGCAGTTAAACTATTCTTTCCAGAGTTCTTAGCATCAGAAGCAAGAAGAAAAAAAAAACGTTTCTGAAATTTCCTCAATCACTGATCATCACTGATCATCACTGATCAAGAAACTAAAAAAAAGATAATCATCTTATAACCAGGCTATCAGAGCCCCTGCTTGCATTATGCTCATAACTGACACGACTAATCGCTAGGATGTCTAAAGGCAATGAAGGGTATCTGAAGAGGGTCACAATCGAGCCCGAGAGGCCGACCCCCATGAGCTCCGGCCAAAGGTGAGGCCCTTGAGAGGCCAACCTCTAGGGGTTGGCCAAGGAGCAAAAACTGTATTTTTTGTAATATCCATAAACTATTCTCGTGGGACAACCGTCTTACCCTACGACATGTGGTAGCCTAGAAAGCTACCATGCTAGAACTCATTCCCTCTATGTTCTTTATTTTCATTTCCCTTGTTGACCACTCGCAAAATCAAAATATGATTATTATCGAAGTGTACTTGGAGCAACAAATTCACATGAAAACTTAATCTCTGAGCGCTCTAGGAAATAAAGTATCATACCAGGCTCTGAAATTTCATCGGCGTTCTCAACAGCAGCCTCTGGATCGTTATCAGGCTCTGTATCCGACTGGTTCGCCCTCATTGATGAGACATTATCAATTGCTTTGAACAGCTCCTCGTCAAAGTTGTCAGGAAGTCCCAATTCTTTTCTCCTTCCACTCTCCAAACACCAATACGAATCATCCTCCGGCATCGTTAACTCCCATTGCTTGATAACATCATGTTCAATCAGCAAACACTCCCACTTCTTCCTGCATTGATTCGAAGTCCGAGCCACATTCAAAGCTGTGCAGTCCTCTGCAACAATCTTCCATTTCTGATAGCTAGACAAAGCTTTCAAACAATCAGCCTCCACAGCCCCAATCACATTAACAAGAACAAGGCATTCCGCCGCGGTCCATTCCGGTGCTATCTGAGACCGCGTCCGACGAGAACCTGAAACCCCCGATCCACGGTTGCCGTTTTCTTTCTTCATTTCCAACTCAAATGTTCTTCGTTTCCAGTTTCGAAAATTTCAAATCTCTATTTCAAATCCAAATGAGTCTATCCACGATTCAACACGAAACGATGAAAAATCAAACGCCATTCCGTAGTAGAAACTAAACAAACCATAAATTTATGAGATTAAATTGAAACGATGTTGATTCCATCAACAATAAACAAAGAATCGAAGGATATCGGGTAGAATAAACGCTTATACTCACGATTTCGTTCGCCTAGCGGATGAATTAAGAAGTGAATCAAAGTAAAGCAGAAAAGAGTGCGCGAAAAGTTGGAAAGTGATCGAAATTGCAAAATAAATCGAATGAACGATTATGATAATGCAATGCTGAAGATTTATCAGTTGAGAGAGAGAGAGAGTTGTTCACTTTACCAATTTCAGAGGAAGTGAAGCCGTAGCTTCGTGCGTTGCCCTTCCGCTCTCGATGCCCAATCTTCGCGGTAGAATTGGAGAAGCCACGAATGCCCCATTCCTCACGGGTGTCTAACGCGCACTTTTCCACTATACGAACTGAATTTTAAATTTTAAATTCTTTTCACATTGTTATCCATTTTTAACTTTAAAGAACGTTTAATAATGGCTTGAATTTCCAATTTTATATTTTCTAGTTATTAAATTTTTAATTTTATGTACACTCTATATTTAAAATAAAAAAATATATATTAAAACTGGAACATTATTATACATTTTCTTTTAGTAATTTAAATATTTAGAATTTATTTACGCTAATTCTAGTTTAACTTCTAATTCTTAAAGACGTAATCGATACTTATACCATATAAACAATCGTAAACGTATTTTTTAAAGTCTTCAGATCCTACCCGTTACTTTTAGCTACTAAAACTTCTATTTAGTAACTTTTTTTTTTGTTTCGATTAAATGTGTTTTTGGAACAAAAAAACAATCACATGTTTAGTTAATATTTTCGATCGATAAAAAAAAATACCATGACGAAAAAATAGTTAGATAAAAAAAAATTAGAATATGCATTTTTTTTAATTAATATCTCGAATTATAAACTCGACCGATGATTAAGTTGATTTAATGTATTTATAAAATACCAATAATAGATAATTGAGGCATGCTTCCAATGCCCTAACTAGTTATGGGCTCTTCCCCAATGATGGTCTTTCCAAAATAAATACAACAATTAACGGTAAAAGAACAATTTCGGATTACACGTGTCTAAGCATTTAAAACGAATGTATCATTCCTTTTTTTCATACCTAATATATATATTTCAAATTATAAGGCTGATAATGATACGTAATAGATTAAAACGGACAATATCTTCTAACGGTAGATTTTGGATTGCTACAAATGATATTAGAGCTAAACATTAATCAGTGTGTTACCGAAGACATTGGCTTCCACATTGGTTGAAGAGGGGAACCAAACATTTTTTATAAAGGTGTGAAAACTCTTTCTAATAGACGCATTTTAAAACGGTGAGACTTTAGTTTGCTAAAGCGAATAATATCAGTTATTATTTAACTTTAAATTTTATTGATGTCTTATATATATAATATATATAATGAAATTAGTGGATGGAAAATGGAACCTAGAGTAATAATTGCTCATCTAGAAGGATGGTTTAAACAATACAAGTGGATAAACGCCACGTCAGTATATAATTTATCCCTTCCACCCACATTTTAGGAGTATATTAAAGTGAGGCCACGATGAGGATTGGCCAGAGCAGGAGATACCAATAACAGCTTTTTGCTAACATTATCTCCTACTGAATAAGTGTCCAGGTTCAATGAACCGAGCCATATTGCTTTTCCAACCAGACCAGTCAATTATGGCACCTTCCTACTGTAAAAAATTTTCAACTAAGCCCCGTGGTCATTCAGTAAATTTAGTGATACATTTTGGGAAGTAAAAAACAACAAACAAATTAACTTTTTGTTGGATGAAAATCTTAAGTCTATTAATTTAGAGAATGATCATGAAATGAAACTTTTTGAAGAAGTCAAAAGTAAAATCATAAGAGCTTAAAGTGGACAATATCATACCATGGAGAGTTGTGTTCGTTAACATGGTATTAGAGGCATGTCCTAAACTTAATATTACGAGCCTCGAAGGCATAGTCAAAAGTGACTAAAGTATTGAACAAAAAGTTTACTTTGTTAGAAGACTCCAAAAGAGAAAAAAAAAAATCGAGTCTCGATTAAGGGGAAGCGTACTTTGTTCGGGGGAGGTGTTGGATGAAAAGTCTCACATTAACTAATTTAGGGAATAATCATGGAATGAAGCTTTTTTATGAAGCTCAAAGCCAAGTCACGAAAACTTAAGTTCAAGGTGGACAATATCATACCATTGTGGAGAGTCGTGTTCGTTTAACACTTCTAACTCTAACCTTGGATTTAGTATTATATATATATATATATATATATATTTTTTGTTTGATTGAGTGCATGTTAGATGATTTTAATATTTAATTTTTTAGTTGAACATGATATCTTAACACGTGTATTTTATAATCTATTAAACACATGAGACGCCTATTTTATAATTTGTTAAATTCCTTGGATAATACTTTCTTTTATTATTTTATAATAATAAAATTTTGACTGATATTCAATGGGGTTGTGGTTTTTTTATTTTTTATTTTTTTTATTTTAATAAAAAATGTATATATAACAAAGATCTATTAAATATAAAATATAAATTTTAAGAATTTATTACATACTTCAAATTAAAAAATTAACTAAATATATGAAACACGGTCATAAAAGTTCAAAAGGTTTGAAGTTTAATAAATTTGTTAAATAAATAAATAAAAGTTAAAAGTTTCATTAGATATTTAAATTAATAATTTTTAAATATTATAATTAGTCAAAAATTTTAAAATACAAAATATAAATTTTAAATATTTAAATATTGAGATTAAATTAATAAAATTATCTTTTAATTTTACCATTTTTTAAAAAAATATTCTAAAAACTTTCCAAAAAATTTTAAAATATTTTTAAAAATTTTAAAATTATTTAAAAAACTATGAATTTTCAATAATTTTAATTTTTTTAAAAAAACTAAAAAAAAAATCTATTAATACGGTATTTTCAAAAATATTCTTAAATTTTTAAAAGCAACGTTCAAAAGTTTGGAAATAATTTATGGGTGTCAATAGACAGTTTTCTTCCATATATCCACGTAAAATTTTTGTGAATTTTTTTTATAAATGTAAATTGTTAATATTATTTTTAAAATTTCATATGTAATTTTTAAATATAGACTAATACTAACCCTATTTTTTTTTAGGGTACTAATAAATTATTTTTTAAAAAAATTAAGAGTATTTTTAAATAAGCTAAGAGGTTTCCATCCAAAAAGATGTCAAATTATTTTAGAGAGTTTTTAAAAAAATGGAAGGTATTATTGAAACCTTTAAAAATTCAGGAATATATATATATATTTAAAGATAAAATACAAATTTTGAAATATTTTTATTAATTTATATTATTATATATATATATAGTAAGCCAAAAAGTGATCAGTTTATAAAATTACAATTTAAGAAACAAGATCTTGACAGAATCCGTCTTACACGTGATACAACTTACAAGTCGTATGCAGATACGGATAATATATTCTATACGTCGTCGTTCGTGCCTGTCGTGGTACAGACTTCAGCGGCTGACGTGGCACACAAGTGGTCCCAACTCTGTGGGCGCGGTTTCAGTTTCGGTTCATCATCTTCGCGGTACTATAAAGTATCAGAATGCTCATTCATTTTCTTCCTCTCGGAAAAACACCATTTCCCTGGAAGAGAGAGAAGAAACAGAGAGAATCAAGAGGGGGAGGAAGAACAGAACTCAGCCACTCTCAAATCTCATCCTCCTCTTTCTCTTTCATTTTCCAGGAAAAGTTTGCGGATCTTCGCGTAAGAATTAAACTCTCTTTCTCTACATTTTTCTTAATATTTTCCTCTTGAATTATCTTGATTTCACTCTTCTATTTCACGTTTCGGAATTGAAACGAGTGCGTAATTGAAGTGATTATAGCCCTATGGATTGCGATTTTAGAAATATTGTCCTCTGATTTTGAAGCATTACTAGTAATTGCTCTTTAAATCTGCATTTTGGTTTCTGATTTGGAGATACATGATATCATTTCATCCACGAACGGGAGGGGTGGGGGTAGGGTTAGTTATTACAAGAAATGGCTGGAACATCTATTGTTCTTCATGATTATTGTTTTCCTTTTTCCAGGAGCTTTATAATCATGGTGTTTTGGGTGTTTGGGTATGGCTCACTGGTGTGGAATCCAGGATTTGAATTTGACGAGAAAATTGTAGGTTATATCAAGGATTATAAGCGCGTTTTTGACCTCGGTAAGTTTCATATTTCCCGCAAGAAATTGTTGTAGATGTAATTTCCTTTAATCAATTTTATTGTTCATAACAATTTGTCTCATCTTTGGACCAGCATGCATTGATCACAGAGGTACGCCAGAAAATCCTGCTAGAACTCTCACGTTGGAACAGGAAGAAGGAGCAATTTGTGTAAGATCAACTGATCTAAATAAGTTGGAATATATTCTCAGTGGATCTTGGATCGCTTTCTCTGTTCTTGGTACTCATTTTCTAGTTTTCTACATAATTTTTTCTCAGTGGGGAGCAGCTTACTGTGTGCGGGGGACTCCTGAAAGGGAAACAACTGCAATGGAGGTAATTTAATGTCAATTACAATTTATTTTTATTTAGATTTAGTTAATCTTATAAAGATGTGTTTGAGAATGACTTTGAAATGGTTAAAATCTACTCTTGTCATGTTCAAAACCACTCCCAAACATGCTTTTAAGCATTTGGAATCAATTTTTATGGTATAAAAATCGGGTTTAAGAGTGTAAAACCAAACTACGAACGCTCGATTTTCATTTCGGTTGTAGGTGTGAGATCCCACATTGATTGGACAGAGGAACGAGTGTCAGCGAGGAGGGTGGGCCCCGAAAGAGGTGGATTGTGAGATCTCACATCGATTAGACAGGGGAACAACATCAATTGGAGAGATGAAAAAGTGCCAGCAAGGACGCTGGCCCCTCACCTTGGTTGGAGAGGGAAATGAAACATTTTTATTATAAGTGTGTAGAAACCTCTCCCACGTTTTAAAAATCTTGAGAGGAAGCCTTGAAGAGAAAACCCAAAAAGGATAATATCAGTTAACAATGGGTTTAAGCTGTTACCACTATTGAATTGATAAACGATAGAATAAGCAAAACATTTCTTTTGTTACATGAATTCAATTTTCATTTCGAGTATGTTTGAGAGTGACTTTGAACCTAATAGATGCGATGTTTTTAACCGTTTCAAAATCACTCCCAAACATGCCTTATCACTATGTTGCGGTTCTTCATTAT